GTAAAAGTTCTAGACAAGTGTTTTCTCGAGTAACGTGTCAATACGTATTTAGTAGTGTCAATACGAGAGGGAATTCGAGTAACTCTTACGAAAATACGATGGAAACAATGAGTAATTAGGTAACTTACATTTTGAATCCGCTAGGTTCTCCACTTGCAACTTCTTTAACGTCAAACATGCTTGGAACCTTGAACGATAGATTTGAATGTGTGAAAGGTGTTGTGAAAAAAAATTCAGAATTCTTCCGCCTTCTTATGTAACTCCAGGGTCAACTATTCCTTTAGTCTGCTTTAGCACATGTACCGCCAACTGCTAGCTAAATTATACTTACTTATAGTTTCGTTGAACAAGTCTTTGAAAAGGAACAAACTTGAAAGTCAGTGTCGTTACCACAAGTGCATCATTGAACAGAAACAAACCAAGGTCACCAACTTGTTGGTAGATTCTGACGTGAAAACAAGCAAACAAAATTCAGTGACCAATTTTAAAATGGTAAAGCAATGTTACGGGCTCCACGGGTTGTCCAAATGTATCACTGCTGGCAAAGCTACAGATAAACAACTTTGGAAAGAGAATCTATCATCACGCTTAGTTGAACACCAACATATAAGGAAACCTATATTCGTAATGCGTTTTTGAATATGATTGATTTAGGTAGGGAAAACTTAACGTGTTTGCAGATTTTTACTAACGAAACGAATCTATGACAACAATGGCATCGATGAAATCGATGAGTAATTGATGGGCAAACGATGGGAGGTCAGTTGATAAGTCACTGAATATTGCCGATGATCTATCAATGAGTATTCCATGAATAATCGAAAGGCCACAAGGCAAGAGTTTCAGGCACATTGATTAATCATTGAGGCCACTGACTGGTCATCGGTATGATCTCCAGGAAACCATTCTCTGCTTAAGATGTGTACGATTGGGCTTATTTTGGAATTAGTAGAAATGGAACAAAGTATCTGTTCGATTGAGTGTTTATGCCAACTCAAGAATACACGGAGTATATTCCAACAGTCTGCTATAGGGAGTAGAATACTTGGAATAATCCGCCGGACTTCGCGTCGTGTCGCGAAGAAAACTTGTCAGAAAACCCTTAAGGAGACCACTTTGGGCGTGGCTCGAGCTTTATTTGACCGCTGAAAGATACCACTTCAAACGGGAGAGGCTCGATTACCAGCCGCAGTTCAGGACAGGAACCCGCACTAGCTGACTAGATTCGAGAGACCGGCCGAAATCGAGCCTAAAAACGGAAATAAGAGCGTTTTCTTTGTTATTATTTCTTCGAGTGCACCCTAAAAGATACTTTAAACGACTGAAAATAGTGGCCTTTCGACGTGAACACCAGAAGTGAGACCACAATCCTTAAGTTATACCCCTAAGCGAGATGACGAGCATCCCCAACCTTTTCAATTGGGGGTCCCCCGGGATAAACATGTCACTCCTGTACCTGAATTCTGGTTTAACTTGTCTACCAACGCTTGGGGTCGACAATAGGATGACATCCTCCTCTCGAACAAAATGGCGGCTTTTCTCTGCCAGTACCTGCAAAGAGAAGGCATTGCTTTGTTACTTTGACGCTACAAAGTCATTCAAGACAATCAAATGAATGGAAAAATAAAGTATGAGAATTTACCGGGCAATTGATTATTCTTTTCTGCAAATCTTGAAGAAACCTCTCTCTTTCCAGGCGTTCTTTGTACTGCAGAACATAAAAAACCAGGCAACAACAGTTAACAAAATAGACATCGCTTTCTTAATACATGTAACTGCTATTCATTCTTCATATAAACTGTGAGGTAAATAACTTTTATCATTTTGGTGTTTGGCTATCCGCTGAGAAAATAAGCCAGTAGAGCAGTTTGAAATTTTAAATCCAGTTAAGTCACTGTATCAAAAACGTAATAACTGGTATAGAGCCGCCAAGTCACCTGGGCCGGGTTGTTCAAAGCCTGATTAAGCTAACTCAGGATTCGCGAGAATTTTGATTTGAGTTTTGTAAATTTTCGGTGAGGTTTTCTGTTTATACAGTTTGTACTTCAGTTTTGAGCTTGACTAAGCTCAAACTACAAAAAACGTAAGCAGTAGAAAACATTTTTATGCAGTAAAAATTAATGCTCCGGTTAACATTTAATCCTGGGTTAGCGTTAACCGGCTTTCGAGCAACCCGGCCTAGGTCAGTAAGCTATCGTATCAAACTCTTATTTAATGTTACCTAAACGTTAGTCCTACGTCAATCACCCGTCCATCAATGATGAATTGTAAATGAAGCCTGCGTTACTCCTTCGTGAAGTTATTTATATGACTAACTGTGCTGTTTTGGAACTATTTAAAGTCGAAAAGGAAAATTCCACGCTAACCAATCCGTAGATTTGCAAACGGACAAGAATATGTTCGAGTCTAACGTAACTGCGTTCTAAAGAGTGATTTCTTAGATTAAACTGCTAAATATCTAATGTTATTGTGATGTTCAGTAAGCATATAGGGCGAAACATTGTAAAATAATATTTGGTTATGAGCTAAGAGATACCGTTGGCAAGTCCTATAGGGTCCGACATCCATACAAGATACCTCAAGATCTATCTATGTGTTCCCCATTAACGCAACAGATGCTATGGGCAAAAACGTATCGTCGCGAAACCCCTCCGCTAGAAGCTTTCCAAGGGTGGAGGGGAGAGGCTTAACTATAGTACAGCGATGAGGCGGATAGAATAATAGATAGAAGATAAAAATGTTCCAGTATGATACGTTTGTTTAATTTTATTTTTACCTGTCTAAATAAACTGTCGAGGTCCTTAAACTTCGCGATGGCCTGGGCCAAGTTTTTTCTATCAACGTGGTCTGATGGGGTGTACTTCATAAATGACTCCAGCAGCTCCACGTAACTTAATAGACAATGCGATAAAAGGAAAGCCTGATAAATTAGTTAGTTGTTTAGAAGTAGTGATGTTCGGAAATGGTTGTTATTTCTTGGAAAACGAAAAACAGGTTAAGACTGCATACGAGCCAAGTGGCCCATCAGGACGGAGCTTATCACGGTTTCTGTAGCATGAAGCGACCAAGAATATTTCTACTCCCCCATAGATGGGATGCTAGTCCATCGCAGGGTTACCCCCAGCATTAACTTCGCTGTTACCCATATGTACACCTGGGTGGAGAGAGACACTGTGCGAGTAAAGTGTCTTGCCCAAGAACACAACACAATGTCCCCGGCCAGGGCTCGAACACGGACCGCTCGATCAGGATTCAAGCGCACTAACCACGAGGCCACCGCGCCTCCACTGGAAAATGAAAGAATACCACAAAAACTTTGTCGTCTGTTTTGTTAGGGTTACACGCCTGCTGACTGGAAAATCTTGTCAGGGACGTTCGTGGCCGTGATGCATTGTCCCTGATGAATTCGGACAAACTGTTGCGCGCCCCTGTCCATCAACCAGCATTNCATTGAACAGAAACAAACCAAGGTCACCAACTTGTTGGTAGATTCTGACGTGAAAACAAGCAAACAAAATCCAGTGACCAATTTTAAAATAGTAAAGCAATGTTACAGGCTCCACGGGTTGTCCAAATGTATCTCTGCCGGCAAAGCTACAAAAAAAACAACTTTGGAAAGAGAAACTCAAATATATAAGGGAACCTATATTCGTAATGCGTTTTTGAATATGACTGATTTAGGTAGGTAAAACTTAACGTGTTTGCAGATTTTTATTAACGAAACGAATCTATGACAACAATGGCATCGATGAAATCGATGAGTAATTGATGGGCAAACGATGCGAGGTCAGTTGATAAGTCACTGAATATTGCCGATGATCAATCAATGAGTAACCCATGAATAATCGAAAGGCTACGAGGCAAGAGTTTCAGGCATCATTGATTAATCATTGAGGCCATTGACTGGTCATCGATATGATCTCGTGGAAACCATCCTCTGCTTAGAATGTGTACGATTGAGCTTATTTTGGAATTAAGTATCTGTTCGATTGCGTGTTTATGCCAACTTAAGAATACACGGAGTATATTCCAACGGTCTGCTCTAGGGAGTAGAATACTTGGAATAATCCAGCCGGACTTCGCGTCGTGTCGCGAAGAAAAATCGTCAGAAAACCCTTAAGGAGACCACTCTGGGCGTGGCTCGAGCTTTATTTGACCCCCTGAAAGATACCACTTCAAACGGGATAGGCTCGATTACCAGCCGCAGTTCAGGACAGGAACCCGCACTAGCAGACTAGATTCTCGAGACCGGCCGAAATCGAGCCTAAAAACGGAAATAAGAGCGTTTTCTTTGTTATTATTTCTTCAAGTGCACCCTAAAAGATACTTTAAACGACTAAAAATAGTGGCCTTTCGACGTGAACACCCGAAGTGAGACCAGAATCCTTAAGTTATACCCCTAAGCGAGATGACGAACATCCCCAACCTTTTCAATTGGGAGTCCCCCGGGATAAACATGTCACTCCTGTACCTGAATTCTGGTTTAAATTGTCTACCAATGCTTGGGGTCGACAATAGGATGACATCCTCCTCTCGAACAAAATGGCGGCTTTTCTCTGCCAGTACCTGCAAAGAGAAGGCATTGCTTTGTTACTTTGACGCTACAAAGTCATTCAAGACAATCAAATGAATGGAAAAATAAAGTATGAGAATTTACCGGGCAATTGATTATTCTTTTCTGCAAATCTTGAAGAAACCTCTCTCTTTCCAGGCGTTCTTTGTACTGCAGAACATAAAAAACCAGGCAACAACAGTTAACAAAATAGACATCGCTTTCTTAATACATGTAACTGCTATTCATTCTTCATATAAACTGTGAGGTAAATAACTTTTATCATTTTGGTGTTTGGCTATCCGCTGAGAAAATAAGCCAGTAGAGCAGTTTGAAATTTTAAATCCAGTTAAGTCACTGTATCAAAAACGTAATAACTGGTATAGAGCCGCCAAGTCACCTGGGCCGGGTTGTTCAAAGCCTGATTAAGCTAACTCAGGATTCGCGAGAATTTTGATTTGAGTTTTGTAAATTTTCGGTGAGGTTTTCTGTTTATACAGTTTGTACTTCAGTTTTGAGCTTGACTAAGCTCAAACTACAAAAAACGTAAGCAGTAGAAAACATTTTTATGCAGTAAAAATTAATGCTCCGGTTAACATTTAATCCTGGGTTAGCGTTAACCGGCTTTCGAGCAACCCGGCCTAGGTCAGTAAGCTATCGTATCAAACTCTTATTTAATGTTACCTAAACGTTAGTCCTACGTCAATCACCCGTCCATCAATGATGAATTGTAAATGAAGCCTGCGTTACTCCTTCGTGAAGTTATTTATATGACTAACTGTGCTGTTTTGGAACTATTTAAAGTCGAAAAGGAAAATTCCACGCTAACCAATCCGTAGATTTGCAAACGGACAAGAATATGTTCGAGTCTAACGTAACTGCGTTCTAAAGAGTGATTTCTTAGATTAAACTGCTAAATATCTAATGTTATTGTGATGTTCAGTAAGCATATAGGGCGAAACATTGTAAAATAATATTTGGTTATGAGCTAAGAGATACCGTTGGCAAGTCCTATAGGGTCCGACATCCATACAAGATACCTCAAGATCTATCTATGTGTTCCCCATTAACGCAACAGATGCTATGGGCAAAAACGTATCGTCGCGAAACCCCTCCGCTAGAAGCTTTCCAAGGGTGGAGGGGAGAGGCTTAACTATAGTACAGCGATGAGGCGGATAGAATAATAGATAGAAGATAAAAATGTTCCAGTATGATACGTTTGTTTAATTTTATTTTTACCTGTCTAAATAAACTGTCGAGGTCCTTAAACTTCGCGATGGCCTGGGCCAAGTTTTTTCTATCAACGTGGTCTGATGGGGTGTACTTCATAAATGACTCCAGCAGCTCCACGTAACTTAATAGACAATGCGATAAAAGGAAAGCCTGATAAATTAGTTAGTTGTTTAGAAGTAGTGATGTTCGGAAATGGTTGTTATTTCTTGGAAAACGAAAAACAGGTTAAGACTGCATACGAGCCAAGTGGCCCATCAGGACGGAGCTTATCACGGTTTCTGTAGCATGAAGCGACCAAGAATATTTCTACTCCCCCATAGATGGGATGCTAGTCCATCGCAGGGTTACCCCCAGCATTAACTTCGCTGTTACCCATATGTACACCTGGGTGGAGAGAGACACTGTGCGAGTAAAGTGTCTTGCCCAAGAACACAACACAATGTCCCCGGCCAGGGCTCGAACACGGACCGCTCGATCAGGATTCAAGCGCACTAACCACGAGGCCACCGCGCCTCCACTGGAAAATGAAAGAATACCACAAAAACTTTGTCGTCTGTTTTGTTAGGGTTACACGCCTGCTGACTGGAAAATCTTGTCAGGGACGTTCGTGGCCGTGATGCATTGTCCCTGATGAATTCGGACAAACTGTTGCGCGCCCCTGTCCATCAACCAGCATTCTTCCTACTTGTCAGTTGATATAACAGGGACTTCAATTTAGTTATTTTTATAAAGAATAGCATTAGCCATGTTCACTTACCTTTTAATTCTTCTTCCTGGGAGAAATAACAATTCAGGTAAACTATGGGTAAAAGGAGAGACGTCAAAGAATTCGTTATCAGCAAGTAATTTCTGAATCAACATTTGAATCAACTCGACAATATTTTCTCGACGAACAACTAAATTCTTAAAAAAAAAAAGCATTAAAATAGAATTGTAGGAGTCAGTAAGGAGAACTGATGTTTCGAGTCTGGGAATTGAAGTTTAAATTTACATTTCGACCTTTGGGCAAAGTGACAAACAAAATCTGGTTGTTAGCAATAGATTTGCGACAATTTATCGATTGAAGGAAACTACTCACTAAAGAAGAAAAAAATATTGTGATCAATTTTATCGTTTTAACACTCAAATGCTATTCGTTAATTTCCAAATAAACGATTCTATACCACACTTACCTCATCATTTTTGTGCTTGGCTGCCTTTCTTGGCGACCGAGAAATGAGCGGAACTGGGGATTCTGTTCTTTACACTGTTGAACATACAAACAAAGATTACAGCGATAAATGAAATCTGACTAAGACAGAGCGCTGCAACTGGCAAGACATAGATTGCTGGCACTTTTTTCGCAAATACAGTAGGAACTAATACAGCAAAACATTTAATACCTGTACCGACAAAACATCATGACATAACGCGGAACTAACTTACGATGTACAACAAATCGTGATATCGAAGTTAAATCTTAGAACAAACTGCAGACCAATCACGCGCTGAGTTATCTGTAAGATAGCGACTATTTCAACTGCAGCTGAAAGCCGTTAGATTCAATTTAGAAATTAAAATTTAAACTGACAATCTCGGTCTAAAAGGGTTTCAGAAAATAACACGCATAAAACAGTGTTACTTATTAAATCGTCTTACCCGCTCAAGTGTTTGCAGTGTGACAGGATAGTTGTTGAGGAAATTAGTGTAAGCTCGCAGCTGAGTTGTGAACCTCAGAAAAATGTCTCCCAGCATCTGAAAGTGGATATCATGTATCGAGTACAATATCAGTTTCTTACAGTTGTCAAGTCCATGATCAGTGAGCAACAGGAACTCGTTGAAGTTGGGCCATTTAGTGGCGATCATGGGCAAGATACTTTACTCTCAGTGCCTCTCTCCACCCAGGTGTATAAATGGGTACCGGCGAATTTAGTTCTGGGGGTAACCCTGAGATGGACTAGCATCCCATCCAGGGGGCAGTAGAAATACTCCTAATCGCTTGATGCTACAGAAACCAGAATAAGCTCCGACCTGTTGGACCACTTGGCTTATATGCAGACTATGCCGAAAACTCTTGAAATTGTGTCCTACCAGTGCAGGGAATTTAGGAGGTTTAAAACCCCGTCGCTGTGATTTTGATTTCCGGGATATGAGTAGAGGGACTCCAACGGAGACGGTAGCTACGGCCAAGGTTGTCTATTATTTACAAGGCAGAGAGCATTCATGCGATGTTGCCACAGGGAACGCAATGCTGGTGACTTACTTGATGTGAATTCCATTCATCTAAACGGTTCGACAGGTCGTTCACCAGCAAACTGAAACAGAGACCAACAATACAATCGTAAACCTGAGACACAAAGCCTATGCTTTATTGACACAGCTTTATATCGGCACCTAGCCTGCGAGCAGATTGAAGGAGACTCACCTCGCAGACTGACAAATTTTCAGTTCACACAGTACTTCCAGTTTTGTTCAAAAGCTCAATAAAAGCATGAAATGTTTCGTTGACTCGTGTAATAACACGGACACTGAAGGAAATTTCGCATTTAAAACAAGTGAAAGTGATTACATTAATGAATTGATTGTTGAATATTGAACTAGCTAGTCATTTCAGACATCAATATTAAGAAGTTTTTTTTGAACATTAAGCCCATTGACCGTACTCTTGGAAGGAATAGTGGGTTCAATTTTCCAATAATCAATTTATTATCGCATTCTTGAAATGACTAGCGGGTTCAATATTTAAATAATCAATTAATTAATGTAATCTTGAAGGGTACGCTTCACTTGGTTTGACTGTAGGCTCCTTTGGCTAGTTATACCTGCTAAGACCCAGTAACGTCTGGCTGTCAGCAAACAAACTCTGAATGTTGGCGGAGCTGATTATGGCCCTGAAATAGGAAATCAAACTGCAGTCGATCATTTTTTTTCACAAATAAATAGCTGAGGGCTTCGCTGAGAGTTAAAGAATGAGAAATTAATTTATGCAATTCTGAAAATTTCAAAACGGGGACGAATATTGTGGAAATTCCCCGGCAAAGTTTCCAGGAAATATGAAAATTATTGAATTTGTAAGGAGCGAACCATTCAACCGAAAATTCCGAAAATTCCAGAATGAAAATCAAATAAAACGGAAATTCCCGTGACGTCCGAAAATTTGCGTACACCTCGCGAGGTTGTCCCTTTCTCCGAAAATTCCGGAAAACACTGTTCCATTCGCCACGTGAAATTTTCGGAAATTTAGACCAGAATTTTTCATCGAATGAAAAGTGCCCCAAGGCTTCTTAAAAGCCAAGGGGTGCTTACCATTTGTCAGAATAAACCAGTTGACCGTTGAATAATGGTAAGGGTTTTTCCAAAATCAGCAAACCAACCGAATGAGATGGCGCTTACCATTTACAATTCAATTTCCCGTTATTGTTTTCAGCTGCTGAGAAACTGGAAACTGGAAAATGTAGTAAATGATAAGGAAATTTCCGTCGTTCCGTCAGGAACGGTAAAAGAGGTAGTGTATAATTTCGAGAACAGATTTCCCGGAAAATTACTGTGCCATTTGACTTTCAACCGAAATTTCGGGATTTTTTTGGCTAAATGGTAAGCATCCAAGATTACCAAATGCTTCTTTAATCTGGACAAAGGAACACCGCGAAAAACAGCTGACACTAGTGCGATTTCATCTCCAGCCAAAATAATAATGAAACGCAAGATCACCCTTTCCCCTTATTTGAGAAACCCCCGAGCGGCCAGCAAAGAAGAGCAGCACCTTTACATGCGGGCTACACTCAAATACGACTTCACTAAAGATCGAACAAAGTAATGTACCTGTTAGAAGCAAGGGAAGCTTGAAGAGGTTTCTTGAAAACATCTTGAATTATGGACAAGCCGCTCATATAGGTCAACTCTGTTGATAATATTTCGTGAGCTACTAACGTCCTTTTCTCCCCAGCAGTAGCGCCAGTACCAGGTTTCGAGGCGAGTTTCTGCAGAAAAGAAATTGCTATCAGTTAGACTTCGAGAAATTCACTTTAACTTTCACGGATTTGTTAGGAAATGAGTCGACGAGTGGGGCGCGAATTCAAACAATGGCTCTCTTTTCACCAGCAAGCGAGAATTTGACTATCTTAATTGACCACTCCCCAATGGAGCATTCACGACCAGGCTTCTCGCATACATTTGCTTATTTGATCTTCAGCGTAGATTAGAAAGTTTTGCCACCGAGACACTCAGAATGATATCATATGAACAAAGCTCGAAAGGTAATACTTCATTTCAATAAACAAAAAATAAAATAAAAATAAATAAACGTCATGCCCCTATCCTGTCATGTAATCTGGGCCGCGGAAAGAAATGATTCCGTGGAAAGACAAAACATTGTTGACAAAGGAAGCTATAAGGTTTGGGTCTGAAGAAAACGTTAATGAATTGTTTGAGTTTTAAACGTGGAAATCAGAGCATCCACAATTCGATTTGTGAGAACTCCAACTAATTTCACCTTGTTGTAACAAGCCAAGGGTCTCCAAGGTAATGCTGTTTTATTGAAGTTACAAGACAAAACATTTAATACTTACATCAGTTTCAAATTCTCTTGTTGCAATATCATCCTCGGAATCAGAAACCTCCAAATCTGACAAAGCTTCCTCTTGCTTTGTCTAAAGAAAGGAGATTCAAGTCAGACCTCACAACTAATACCTCGTCCACACCACGCCAGAGAAATTTGAAAACGCAGCTTTATTTCTTTGGTTAGGCCAACCGTCCACACTAATCCGTCACGAAAACGGAGCTTTTCGAAAACGCTCTTCAAAACGGAGGAATTTGAAAACGCCGGCCTTGTGTTTTAGTGTGGACGGAAAGCATTTTGAAAATGGAGCTTTTCGAAAACGACGACGCTACGCTTATCACGAAATTTTTCTGTCTGAGTTTTCCTCAAACACAAATCCAAAATGACCGATGATTGTTGCGTTTTCAAATTTCTCCGGCGTAGTGTGGAAAGGGCCTAACTTCATTTGAGACTTCGTACCAGACCTATGTAAGACCTTGGCTGCCAAGAATTATTTTGTTATTGTTTTTGTGAGTAAGTTTTCGTTTTCGATATTTGTGCCAATACAACTGAATCAGCGGTGATGTTTTCCTTTTTGTTTGATGCTAAACTTTAATTTGAAGAGTGCAAATCGGTCGTGTAAATTTTGCAATACGGAGCTTTATTATTGTACTACTTTAAATTAAATGTTTAATTACTTCTACGCGAGGTAGAGAACTGAAATTTAATTTACGGATTGAAGTCATATTTAGGTGCTCTATAGAACAGTTGGACACAAAATAGCGTGCTATACCCTACAGTTTGGCTCAGGATGAGGAAAAAAGATCTATGACCGCCCGTTGACAACAATTGCGAATTATCAATAATTACTAGCCTTTACTGATTACTTTCAGCATAGTCAGTTTCCCGAAAGTTGTGAACATAAACAACACGATTTTATGTACAGGTGCTCCTAAAACTCATTTAAATGAACAATATCAGAGAAGCCTCCACAGAAACGTAATTTATTTATTATAATTAACCTTTAAATGTTCCAGTGAATTAGTTTCTCATTACCCATCTATATGCCGCTCATTAAGCGTGACCTTTATGAGAGTTACAGACATGTGCCTGGTCATAACAAAAAGAGATAAATCACAACTCGGCTCGTTTTGGGAGAAAGTGACATCCTGTTATTATTTCCAACGGTCATCATAATTTTAGAAACAAAAAAACCTTTCTTTTTGGATAAAAACTCATCTCTTACATTTACTAAAACGAGATTCTGCAACACGGAAGTAATTTTTTCAGTTTTGTGCCGTATGCTGTTCAAGTTGCCATACGAAGACAAGGCAGTTCTTTCCTTAAGATATTTTTTTCTGTTTGTAGAATCTGTTCTTGGACATGACAGTTTCCGGTCACTACAGATACGAAGCTGCAGATTATGCTCAACCTGTTTAAAATTAATGCTTGCACATTTCCATTTTTTCAGCTAGTTTTAAATTTAACTGTTTTTTTTTCTTAATTTGGTTCAACTAAATTTGTCAGGTAAATGTAACCGGAGAGCGTAATGTATTGGGAGCTAGTGTGAACGCACCGCACGTACAGGAAGCGATGTTCTTCTATCAGCAACAATGGATCAAACGAAATGTTTTAACAAGCATATCCTGAGGCACGCAAACTCAATGACGAAATCATAACTTTGCTCATCTCCAAAAGGCAAAACCAAATGCATGCGTCGAATTTTGTCTTTGGATTCACAACCAAGCGAGCTACAGTTTGTTTATAGCCACAGGTCATACAGGTGTAGTGAGTATTAGGTAGCAGGGTTTTGAGACGATTTTTCATAACTGGTGAACTTTTATCAGTCGAGCCTGCGGTACACTGAGAAAATTGCTATGAGAAATGGCTAGTTTAAACAGACTATTCCGTTTGAATCTCTGCCTGGGGAACAGGGATGGCGCAGTGGTAAGAGCGCTCGCTCAGGTTCGATTCCGGCCCGGTACCATATGTGAGTTGAGTTTGTTGTTGGTTCTCGCCTTGCTCCGAGGGTTTTTCCCTGGGTTTTCCGGTTTCCTCCCTCCACAGAAAGCAACATTTCCAAATTCCAATTCGATCAGGATCTAGAGGACCTCCATGAAAGCCAGCTAAGCCGCTGACGTGGCTTCCCCTCTAAATATTGTAACTTAAGATAGCAAGAATTTGATCAGTATAGATTGGATATACGCAAAAGGAGTAGGGTTAGTTTAATCCAATCGCCACGCAAATGACTAATCCTAGAAACGTCACTCTTTACGAAAACCCAAATGCGGGAAATGAACTACTGTATTTCCTTAAGATTTTAAATATCATGAACAGGTATAGAGGTCTGCTCCGTGTAAAACGCATCAGCCTGCATCATTTCATTGAAACTAGGTGATCGAAGCTTGTGAAAGACTAATTTTGTACACAGTTTTAGAAAATTGATTTGTCGACCGCTTTCTATAGCTTTGTTTCGGCTTGAAGGTAAACGTTCTTCGTGGTCTTTGTGAGTGTACGTAAATGGGTTGTCATCAATGGGTGATTTTCTTTGATAGAGCGGCTTTCGATTGAGTGTCGTAAAACCAAAACCAAATCAATTACTTAATGATTACTCAGCCAATCTCAAACCGTAGTAAAACCAAAACCAAAGTAATTGTCTGATTTCTTTCGACACTCAATGAAAACCGCTCTTAGAAGAGCATTAGTTATAACTCATTTTAAAATTATATTCAGTCTAAATGAGTTTTGATTCAAAGTCACCCTTCCTATCTTGCTCCCGTGCTACAAATGTAAAAGCAATGGGTAAAACGATTTCTTTCCTACTTTCACGCATTTTTCAGAGGAACATTGGATGTTTTTGAAGTTCGATTCAACCAAACATGAACAAGTCTGAGCAGAATTTCGGAAAAAAACGCTTTTCCGCCCTTTTAATCTAAAATCAATTGGCCTTTCTTTTGAAACTATAAAATCCGTGTTTTGCATAAAAGCCTAAGCTAGGTAATGCTTACTAAAAAAAGGGCCGCGGTACACTAAACCTTGATTGGAAAAACATTCGGGACAAATCATTCCGAGTTAAATTAATTTTAACAAAAGTAACCTAGAACTGCGCCATAAAGTATTAAATACAGTGATATAGACCCCAAAGTACCAAACACTTTCATATAGATGGGTCTCGCGATCACAGAAGCGGAACCGGCGGAGATAAAAAAAAAGCAAGTAACGGTTGAAAGTTTCAAAGAGCTCCCTATTCATAAAACAGAAAAAATCTCAAAATAACCTGTTAGGTGACGTGTCAACAAAACATACCGCACAGGTATCGCAGAAGTCATGGGTTCGAATCCCGTTCAAGCCTGATTTTTTTTTCAGGCTTTAATTTTACAAGTGCGTAAGTTGTGTACATAATAAACTGCGATGATTATTCGTGTCTTTAAAACACGTACTTTACTTCATTTTGCAGATTTCGAGAAAAAGACTGAAAGGAAAAACAATGTCATCATTGGAACTTCCTCCTCGCAGCATTACTCGAGTCAGTTTGGAATTTTTTTCATGGACAGTTTTGGCCTTGGCCGGTTTCCTAGGGAACATCGCAGTGATCGCTGCCTTTGTACGAAGTCAATTCTTACGAAAGTTTACACCGGTGTACATCATTGCCCTTGCGATCAGTGACATCCTCAACTTTGTCACCAATGGCACGTTTGTAGCAGTAACCCTTCACGCCGGAAGTTGGCAATTTGGGTCCTCTGGCTGTTTTGTTGGCGGATTTTCCACTCTTTTCCTCATGCAACTCACCACTAGCACCATGTCACTCACGGCCATTAACAGATACATCCGGGTTACCAAGCCTGAGCTGTTCAAAAAAATATTCGCGCCAAAAAAGTCCATCGTGATTGTGGTCTGCCTGTGGTTCCTCGTCGCCTTGACGACGCTGCTTCCGTTCGTCATTGGAGATTCAGAGTTCGCTTTTATGGCCAGCTATGCGGTATGTGTTCCCTCTTTTAGGCAAAAGGTTACATTTTACGCTACGGCTATCCATGGGTCCTTCGGGGTTGTTTCTCTGCTAATTGTAGCTGTATGCTACATCAAAGTTTCTCGCGCTATAAGACAAATTCTACCGCGGGACGCGCAGAATGAAGATGAAAACCAAGGCGGGGAAACCTTGGAAAATGGTGACGTTGCGATGAGAACGAGAGAAGTGAAGATCACAAAGATGATGTACGCTATCGTGCTGGTCTTCGCAATCCTCTGGATTCCCACAGCAGTGATTATCATTGTGACCCGCGTCACGCTCGGTAAAATCCCTCGGGATGTCTCGATGCTGGTGCCTTTCGCATACAATATTAGCAGTTTAACAAATCCTGTGGTGTATGCAAGCATGAACAGGTCTTTCAGAAGGGAATTTAAAATGATTTTGTTGACTATATTATATTACCAATGTTGTAGATAGTGTTTGCACAAGTGTTGCGTGACGCGATTACTTCAACAACTAAGTTGTTGAGGCGTGACATTTAATACGTGACACTGGAATGAATGTATCGGCGTAAATAACTTTGCGAGCGTTTATGAGGATAAATACGTGACTTTAAATTTCCATACTTGCGTGAGTCTTAAATTTGGATTTAATGTGGAAAAAACTACGTAATATAATATTTTCAATCAAGACAATTGCGTGACATCTAAATTTGGATAAGTGCGTGAAAATTTAACGAGGAAAACTGCGGGACATTTTCATGAAGAAAACTACATGATTTTGGATAGTCACTGGGCGTGGAAATGTTACTTATCAAATCCAGGTCAACTGCAATGTGACTAAATCTTCAGGTATTTTTTGCTGGCTTCTCCGGCTTTTCAGGTTTAGTGCAGGTTGTTAAATTAGAATAATCGCATATATAAATGTATGCAGTCAGTAAATAGAACATATATTTCTGCACTATTTAGAAGAGTAGAGCTGTTTAATTGACAAAGCCAGCTTAATCTTGTTCACTCGTGTATCTTTGGTCTTTAACACATGACCTAGAATTTTTTTATCGTTCAAAATATGGATAATAAGCAAATATGACATGCAGCACATCTTTCATGCAGCACTCCGGTCAGTACAACAGAAATCATTGGTCTTACCATTGTTTTCTGAACTTTCTTCAATTTTCTATCTTTGTGTCCATAGTTCTGTAGATAATGAATAAGACCTTGAACCGGATCGCTCTGGAGTAAGGAGAACAAGACGATAAACGCATTTACTCTCAGTAGTTTGTAATCTGACTTCCAATGTAGACAACACGTTAAATAAAGAAGAAGTGAGTGGTATCAGAGAATTGAAACTAGGTACTTTCTTTACCCAATTCCTGGATGCGTTGTCCTTTCCAAGAGAGATGACGGCATCAACAAGCACAGAGGCAATCTCCGACACTCGGTACACCTCACACATCCCTAAGGCTTCAAACGTGATTTGTCCTAAAACAACGACGTCAAAAAATGCATTAACGCTGCAGATTAAACCCAGATTGGACACTCAGCAACTAGAATGAGCTGTCTTTTTCTATGGCATCTGTGGATCGGCGCTTATGGACTATAGCCCTTTACATGATTGGCTTGTATGGCAACGGACGTTTCACTGATTTGGTGACGTAAAAGACAAGCTTCAGCCCCCGACAAAAGACAAGCTTCAGCCCCCGACGCCGGAGAAATTTAAAAGCGGAGTTTTCACACTAAAGATGCATCGAATGTTTTCCGTCCACATTTCGCCGGAGAAATTTGAAAACGCAACAATCACTGATCATTTTGGAATTGTGTTTGAGGAAAACTCGGACAGAAAGTTCCCCCGGTTATCGTGGTGTCATCGTTTTCGGAAAGCTCCGTTTTCAAAATGTTTTGCGTTCACACTAAAACGCAAAGCCGGTGTTTTCAAATTCCTCCGGTTTGGGAAGCGTTTTCGAAAAGCTCCGTTTTCGCGACGGATTAGTCTGGACGGTAGGCCTAACTGTGGAAATAAAGCTACTTTTCAGTTCAAATTTCTCCGCCGTAGTGTGGACTGGGCCTTCGACTGGACTCCTATTCTCGATAAATTCCGTCACGAGTAATTGTGTATTACGCTGCTTTACATCATTTGTAGTTCATTTAATGAGCCATTTGAACTGAGAAGTTATTGGAATGCATTCATGAAGTACTAATATTCAAAAGCACTCCTGCTGCAACTTACCAACAAGACGCTTAGCTAGATTCCTTTGCTCTTCACAGAAGAAACAGTTGAGATTCTTTTTTACAACATCAACGCATTCCTACAAACAGAAAAGCATTCTTAAAATAGCGCCAACAACTATTAAAAGTTACACTATGATCTCGAGATTTCTATCTTAACAGTAGAGTGTTTCTGTTGAGGGCCAATGGGCTGATAGTTGCCCTTGGAAATTCTTTTCTTCAAATTATTATTTCCAATTATTTCTCTACATTTTTTTAAAACTAGCACTTAAGTTCAAGTTTCAGCGAAATCGTGCGCGGACGGGCGCTGACTGAATTTTCATTTGAAACTTGCAGCCGGGGACGCGCACTCATCAATTCACTCAACAGGTTTGAAGTTTTATAATCGCATTGCGGTGAATGTCTTTCTTTTAATCCTCTGGCAAATTAAAAATTGTCCAGTAGTATTTCTGAATCTTCCTAGGAACTGCGCACCGTCTAATGGTTATAAACGCAGCATTTGCTTTTCTATACATGTAGTAGACTTTTAATGAAAAAAAGGCCATGAACATTACTTGTTTTATACAGTCAAACTACACAGTGTTGACAGACCTCAATGTAATCCACGGTACTCGACCAAGCTCCAAGTTTTGTGGCATTGAAATACAGAGACGGCGGTGAACCACTGTTAGGTACAAACAACCAATCACTTTCCACTATGGAAATTGAAAATAATAAGTATGAGAACAGCTAACAATCTAACCAAAATAAATTGGTAGTTATAATGATTATGCCAACCGAAATATATCAGTGCAAACTGAGAGGCAACGAAGCAGTCGAAAGATGGAAGCAAACAACAGGAAACAGGCGAATTGCGCGGGAAAACGCGCCAAAACCAACCCATGTTTCTGCTCCTGATTGGTTCGATTTAACAGTATCTTTGTTCTGATTGGTCAGAGCATGTTCTATGAGCTCAGCAAATGCGAAAAATGAGAAGAAGAATTTTCCTGTATTTGCGCGTTCAGCTATCATTATTTCTTTACAATACACGATTGCAAGATTTTCAAGGTTTAAGAGGCCCTGCGCCTAAGAAACGACCGATGATTTCCGGCTAAAAAATAAAATCGGCCGATTTTTATCTCCCAAGTAGAGGTTACT